CCCCCCCCCCCCCCGCCTTTTTTTTTGTCCCTCCCTCAAAGTACGACACACTTTCGAACTGATTTTTTTTTTTTAAAAAAGAAAAATTTAAAAACGTATTACAATGTATTCTAAAACACACGTCACCATTAAAATAATACATGTCTAAAAAATAAGGGTGGACATCGTCTGGTCAACATTACAACCTTTACAGCACAACGCTGGACACCACTGTTAACTTCAGGGTTTATTTTTAATTTTACATATCTTCCGAGTGATTGGCGATCTGTGATTGAACTACACACATGCGACGTGGCTGATGGCTTATGTCACGAGTGACTTACATGCCATTGACTTTAACCCTACAACGTCCCAACTTGCCGTGTCGATTTCACTGACCTCTGTCCACTTTAACCCATATTTTGCCCCGATCAGCACATGATACGCCTCAGAATGAAGGAATGAATTTGATAAATAATTAGCCTGCTGTAGTAAACACATATCGAGGGGGGGGGGATATAGGGTGTGAAATTTTAACACTGGATGACATGACCATCTCTTTAAATCAAATGATGTTACAGCCATGAAAAAAAAAATGCTTTACATTCTCTTTTAATGATAAATATATGTTTAACAATGAAGAAAATGTAGTTCTGGGGGGGGGGTACATTGACATAAGTATACCCACAATTCAAATAAGCACATCAAAACCCAAAATCACTTTAAAAAAACGTGAAAATTTAATCTTAAAAATAGAGAAATCTTTTTTTTTTTTTTCTTTTTTTAAATTCCTTTTATAATTCACGGGCGTGAACAAAGAAAGATTGGGTTAAAGATTTTCATTCAAAATAATGAGAATATATATTTTTTTGTTTTCCCCCTTTGTGAAAAGTAAAGTTCGTGGAAAGTGGGTGTAAATTGTTATGAGATTAATAAAATTTCTTATAAGAACAACTAAGGCTGTTTGTTACAGATGCGAACATCGTTTTAAGAGATTCCTCTTTGGATCAAATAATTTTGTGTTTTACGATCGCCCGATGATATAGAAGAGAAGGAAAACAAAAATTTGGTTACATTTTTTTTTTGTTTTTAATGCAGACACAAAAATATCAAATTTAATTAATTTAAAGGATATTTAGAATGTTCTATAGATCGTTTTAAAATTTTTTTTTTTCTTAATTTAATGGCACATTTAAACAATTTTTAGAAGAAAAAAAACCCATCATGGTTAGGAAATGAAAACATCATTACATAGATACTTCTTTTTTTTTTTTAAATAAGATATTCTGATTAACTATTTTTATACATATACATTTCAAGGACGTGGGATATCATAGTTTTTTTTAAAATTTTAATACAGTTATATACCCCAAAAAAAATAAAAATAAAATAAAAATGGATTGTTATGCGTTGAGTCTTCGCAATTAGCAGGTAGAAATTTTCGCAAAATGCCCATCATTATTGTCCCGGTAACATCGGGTCAAATATTCTAGTATAAAATAAATGTTGGAACTCGTCGCTTTCGTTAAGTTTCTCGGTGGCGTGTTCAAGTTTATGCTTATTTACGTTAACCTTCAATATAACTAGCCACAAAAAAAATCAGTTATCGGTAAAAATCAGCAAACAATCAATACATATGATACATTATTTGAGGTATCTTTTACATTCACTAGATGCTGAATAAATGTTATCTGTTAATGAATCAAATGTAGAGCTCCTCCCCCCCCCTTTTTTTTCCCCCACCCACCACTCCCATGAACAAATCGTTTCTTTCTCTCTTTCTTTATTTTTTCCCCCTCTGTTAGTCTATCAAAAATCCAGAGAAAGTTAGCGTGACCTCGGCCTCGTCTTGTACTTCGTTGGCCGTGACGTCCGTCCACACCTGCTGGCCAATCTTCAGTGACGTCAGGACGTCCAGCTGGCCCACTTCCTTGTCGCTAGTGTCAGCAAGGACCAGGTTGTCCACCACCAGAAAGGCTTTGAGGTCAACTTCGGGTTTCTGAAAAGTGCGGAGACGTAGATTAGACATCATTTCTCGACCGTCATGCAAGGCTAGCACGACTAGAGACACGACCGAAAGTGATTTTCTGATTTCTGCCCGAAACCGAAACTAGGCCGAAAGTTAACTTTTCTGTTTCGGCCGAACTAGACCGAAAGTGATAAATTGGCAACTTTCGGCGCCAAATTTGAAGCCGAAGCCGAAAATCGGTCGGTCTCTAAGTACGACATGCGAGATTCATATCCAGTGGCGTAACTACGGTGGGTGTCACCCAGTGCGTTAAAGCCCATGATGTAACCCAATCCATGGTTACCAATGGACCTCCTCCGAGTCTGCCTGCTCTGGTGACGCGGTGTCCTTGATGGCTTATACTATGTAAATGCAATCGGTAGTTTTCATTTTGGAATCAACACCTTATGAAGGTCTCAAATGGTTGCATTCCGCACCCACTGCCCACCTCTAGTGGCACCACTGAATACAATTATATTAGGTATGTTTCTCTAAAGCAGTGGGTCTCAGCCTCCCTAATGCCGCAACAATTTAATACAGTTCTTCATGTTGTGGTGACCCACAACCATAATATTATTTTCGTTTCTACTCCATAAATATGTGTTAGGGTGGTCTTAGGAGACCCAGGTGAAAGGCTCGTTCGACCCATAAAAGGGGTTGCGACCCATAAAAGGGGTTGCGACCCACAGGTTGAGAACCGCTTCCCTAGAGGCAATCCACCGTGTTCTGCTCACCTACGTCTCTAAAACCTCTTTCAAAATTTAAATTCTTCCAATTTCGTGTCATGCCCTGGTAGGTTTCACCTTGTGCGGTCCACAAGCCACTATCCGAATCTTCCAGAGACGCGATGATGCCATGTAAGACAAACATGGCATGCCGGAGAGACTTTGCCATTGCATACAACATCCATACAACATGTCAGACAAACATTGCATACAAGACTCACATCCAGATGACATGTTAGACAAACATTACATACAAGACTAACATCTACACAACATGTCAGACAAACATTACATACAACGCTCACATCCACACGACATGTCAGACAAACATTACATACAAGGCTCACATCCACACGACATGTCAGACAAACATTATATACAAGGCTCGCATCCACACGATATGTCAGACAAACATTACACACAAGGCTCACATCCACACGATATGTCAGACAAACATTACACACAAGGCTCACATCCACACGACATGTCAGACAAACATTACACGCAAGGCTCGCATCCACATAAGAAGTGCAGACAATCACGGCAAGCCAGACAAACCGTACATTCCAACATAAACCCTACATTGGGGAATTTCCCCTTTCTTACCATCTTGTACGCCAGAGAGAAATGATAGACGCCCTCGTAGGGCGCCATGTACACCCCGTTGAGCTCATCGAACCCGATGCCGGTCCCGGTGTTGACGGTCACGTTGTACTCCTTGACCGGCTGCCGGGTCGCGTTGGCCGGTATGGGGTTAACACGGCTGGCGTAGAAGGCCGACGATCTCTTCAGAGAGGCTGTGGGGAGGGAAGAAATTCTTGACAACGCTGGAATGATGAAAGCTCTTTTTTAACAGGAGCAATGTCATGATATTTAAGAAAAAAATAGATTTGCTGTTAACAGTTTGGGGGGCGGTGGGGGGGGGAGGGGGGTAAAATTAGATGGACTCGAAATTTAGAGTTACTTTAATCTAATTTTGTGTTTTGTTTTATCCTAAATTTTTGTTAATTATCTAAAAAAGAAAAATGGTGATAAAAACTTTTTTCAGCTGAACATCTCAAAAAAAAAAAAAAAAGATCTAACAATAAAAAATTCACACACTTCACACCTTAGAGCAAGTAGAGACATATACGTACCTAGGTGTCACCATAAAGAGAAAGTAAAGACATATAAGTACCTAAGTGTCACCATAAAGAGCAAGTAGAGACATATAAGTACCTATGTGACACCATATAGAGCGAGTAGAGACATATAAGTACCTAGGTGTCACCATATAGAGCGAGTAGAGACATATAAGTACCTAGGTGTCACCATATAGAGCAAGTAGATACATATAAGTACCTAGGCGACACCATAAAGAGCAAGTAGAGACATATAAGTACCTAGGCGACATCATATAGAGCAAGTAGAGACATATAAGTACCTATAGGTGTCACCATATAGAGCAAGTAGAGACATATAAGTACCTAGGTGTCACCATAAAGAGCAAGTAGAGACATATAAGTACCTAGGTGTCACCATATAGAGCAAATAGAGACATATAAGTACCTATAGGTGTCACCATATAGAACAAGTAGAGACATATAAGTACCTAGGTGTCACCATATAAAGCAAGTATAGACATATAAGTACCTAGGTGACACCATAAAGAGCAAGTAGAGACATATAAGTACCTAGGTGTCACCATAAAGAGCAAGTAGAGACATATAAGTACCTAGGTGACACCATATAGAGCGAGTAGAGACATATAAGTACCTAGGCGACACCATAAAGAGCAAGTAGAGACATATAAGTACCTAGGCGACATCATATAGAGCAAGTAGATACATATAAGTACCTAGGCGACACCATATAGAGCAAGTAGAAAATATAAGTACCTATAGTTGAAACCATATATAGCAAGTAGAGACATATAAGTAGCTAAGTGGCAGCATTAGTTATAAATAAGCTAACGTGTCATGGCCACGGCCTAAGTTCTATTAAAATTAAAAACAACAATTTTTTTTTTTTTAATGGCTGTATTTTGATTTTATATTTATATTGTTCCGCTCCCGTTTTCGTTCGAGATTTTAATTCGACGACAGGATGTTTGTTTTCAAATCATCTGCTGATCGTCAGTGAGAAGGCTTTAAGTAAGCGAGCTGTCAATTCATTTTGATTTCATTTCCGAGCTATTTACACTATTTTAAGACGTGTTTACCATGGCATTCAGCGTCATGGTTACTGATGGACATGTAGTTCGTTAAGTAGTGGGAAGTGTAAACATTATTCGGGCTCTGTGCGCTCTGGTGAATTTTTCTTACTATTGGAGCTACCAGTGGTTATCAACCCTGCCGAATGCCGCGACCCTTAAACACAGTTCCTCATGTTGTGGCGACCTCCAAGCCACAAAGTTATTTTCGTTGCTACTTCATAAAACTGTACAGCATATGTGTTTTCAGATGGTCTTAGGCGACCCCCTGGGAAAGGGTCATGCGACCCCCCAAAGGGGTCGCGACCCACAGGTGGAGAACCGCTGGGATATACTATTTGGAAACCCACACAATGAAAGGTGGCTGGAACTGAAAGGCTTTCACTTTAAATGTTTTGGCCAATTGAACATTTAGTCGACGGGTAAGTTGAAACAATTTTTATTTGTTAAAATTGTTTTATTCTGTTGTAATTTACCATTTTAGAAGGGAATAATTTTTCTACCAAAAATTTAAATAATACTAATGTTTTACATTTATTGTTTATCTTATATTTGGAGAATTCATTTACCTAAAAATATGGTTTTATCACTCACTAGTGTATGTTTATAATTAAGAAAGGTGCAGCTGGGTCAGAAAATGTGACCAAAATTAATTTCGGCCACAGCCATTTGTTCAGTCTGGTAGTAATTCAACGCCTCATCAGCAATTTAGTTATATCGGTACTTTAAAAACAACAAAAGTAAAAAAAAAATTAAAAAATAGTACTATCGAGACACGAATTGGTATTGTTTCGCTTATTCAATTCGAATAAAGTCACAGAGAAAAAGAAAATGTCACAGAATAACCTTATATTAGCCGTTCTTTTATTTGTAAGCCCATATGAAGGTTTATTATAGACACAATTTTCCTGTGACTTCGCCCCACCCCACCCCTCTCCTCCCCACCTTACACTTGCTTATACTTATTATACTTATGCTTATACTTCCAGTACAAGGAGCATGTGTTAGCACTAGTAGGCGTTTTGGTTTTCTTGAAGCTAAAAGTTGTGTTAAAAATGCACTAGTGGCTGAACCCAAACAATGCAGCCGTGTTCAGAACTTATCATCTTATTATAGATTGCATAATGATGTTTAAAAACAAAAAAATTGCCACTAGAATTCTGGCTAGCAATTTCAATTTTTTTCAGCTCCTCCATCTTACAATAAATTAGCCGACTATATGCAAACTACATATTCGATGTTGAATCTAATAATGGTAAAATATAGCTTATAATGGTATAGTATAGCTCGTAATGGTATAGTATAGCTCATAATGGTATAGTATAGCTCGTAATGGTATAGTATAGCTCATAATGGTATATTATAGCTCGTAATGGTATAGTATAGCTCATAATGGTATAGTATAGCTCGTAATGGTATAGTATAGCTCATAATGGTATATTATAGCTCGTAATGGTATAGTATAGCTCATAATGGTATAGTATAGCTCATAATGGTATAGTATAGCTCATAATGGTATAGTATAGCTCATAATGGTATAGTATAGCTCATAATGGTATAGTGTAGCTCATAATGGTATAGCATAGCTCAAAATGGTATAGTATATCTCATAATGGTATAGTATAGCTCACAATGGTATAGCATAGCTCACAATTGTGTAGTATAGCTCATTATGGTATAGCATAGCTCATAATGGTATGGTATAGCTCATAATGGTATAGTTTAGCCTATAATGGTATAGTGTAGCTCATAATGGTATAGTATAGCCCATAATGGTATAGCATAGCCCATAATGGCATAGTGTACTGCTCATGACTTCCAAAATGTTCCCTAACATTAACCCCATGACCCCCATGCATTACCAACGTCCTTCTTGAGTTTGTCGATGTCCCCGCCCGACGGGTTGTTGTGTCCAGGGTTTGAGTTGGCCAGCGGCGGGATGGCCAGGACCTGTTTGGTCAGTCTGTAGATGGTGGTCTCCAGGCTGGCGATCTTGTCACACATCTGAGACAAGGCGGACTGGCTGCTGACCGGGTCGAAGCACGGGGTGGCGAATCCTAAAGGAAGGGAAGGGGGTGGAACAACGGTAGGGTTGATAGGTAAGGATCGGAGGCTTAGAGGTGAGATGTGATGGTATTACATCACGGTGATAGGGACAGAATATGGTGGGAGGGGGGAGGGGGGAAGTGGTGACATAGCGTGGTGGGGGCGGGGATACAATCCCGTGGAAGTGGTGATGTGACGTGTTGGTGTAATGTGGGGGCGGTGGTGACCTACCGGTAAATGGGGTTGACATATAATGTGGGGGCAGTGGTGACCTACCGGTAATGGGGTTGACATATAATGTGGGGGCAGTGGTGTCGTACCGGTAATGGGGTTGACATATAATGTGGTGGCAGTGGTGACCTACCGGTAATGGGGTTGACATATAATGTGGTGGCAGTGGTGTCGTACCGGTAATGGGGTTGACATATAATGTGGTGGCAGTGGTGACCTACCGGTCATGGGGTTCACATATAATGTGGTGGCAGTGGTGTCGTACCGGTAATGGGGTTGACATATAATGTGGTGGCAGTGGTGTCGTACCGGTAATGGGGTTGACATATAATGTGGGGGCAGTGGTGTCCTACCGGTAATGGGGTTGACATATAATGTGGGGGCAGTGTTGTCCTACCGGTAATGGGGTTGACATATAATGTGGTGGCAGTGGTGACCTTGGGGTAATGGGGTTGACATATAAATGTGGTGGCAGTGGTGACCTTCCGGTAATGGGGTTGACATATAATGTGGTGGCAGTGGTAACCTTCCGGTAAGGGGGTTGCCATATAATGTGATGAAGGGATGATTTATTGTGGAGATAGTGATGGCTTAATGAGGTGGCATAATGGGGTGGCATAATGAAGTGGCATAATTTGGGGGGGGGCATACTTAAGTGATACCAATTGTCTCCAGCCGTTATTTGCTTCAATTAATCTCAAATAACTCATTTCTTCCCAACCCCCCCCCCCCCCCCCCCACCCCCCCCCCCTCCCCCCCCCCCCCCCCCTTAAGTGCTACCAATTGTCTCCAGCCGTTATTTGCTTCAATTAATCTCAAATACCTCATTTCTTCCCAACCCCCCCCCCCTCCACTCAACCTCGCCCCCTTGCCACTCACCTGCCCCCTTGTCCTGACATAGACTCTCCCTTTCCAGGACTCGCTCCAACTTTCCGGTGATTTCCCTGATCGCGTCGGCCGTCTCCTTGTCCGGCTCCGACGACGGCATCGCTGTTTTGTTCTCCAGCCTCGGGTCACAGCTCTCACCGGACGCCGTATGGGACGCCATGATCAGGAACGCGCTCACCAAAAGCGCAATGCTCGGTTTCATTTTGTGGTCTGGTGTGTATGATCCCGTCTTCTCTCCCGAATCTCGGACAGGGACGTATGAATTGTAAACTGTTACAATTTTGATTCGTATATCACTACGATTTACACTCAACGGGAAGTTGGTTCGTTTAAATTGTTTTTGTATGAAGTTTTCTACCTGCTTAAAAGTTAATTAATAAAAAATTAAGGATTTCTCGACCGAACCATCATGCTAATTAAAACGCTCAACATATATATATATATATATAATAATAATAAAGTTTATTTCAAAAACACGCTTCATCCCCAAAGGCTCGAAGCGCGGTACAAAGTCAACAAAAAACATATCTATAATTCACCACATTTAAAACAAACGCAACACTACAAAAACTAATTACAAGCATACAATATAAATATATATATATATATACAGTGTGCATCACTTAGTAAATCACATTTCCGTAGATGTAAAACCAAGTCGACAGAAAGAACGAAGAATGCACCGTTGTTTCATTATTATTTTAAACAAAAATAAAAAATGGAAATTGGAAAATGCAAAAAGTTTGGTTTTATTTTCGTCGAGACTATTGCTCTTTAGAATGTGAACTCACAGAAAGAATTGCTCGGAAGTTGTTGCTGTTTTGTTTTTGATTTCGAAGATTTTATGAGCAGTGAGCATCTAACACAGGTGTTTTACGATAACTCGAGCTGAGCGCGGATATACCGTTCGAATACGTAATCAAAGGATACGGTGGTACGCCCTAGAAACACAAAGTCATCTAAATAAGTTACTGGTCGGTTGGTACGCCTCACATCACAATGTCCTCTAAGTAAGAAACTTTTCCTTCAAGGCAATTAAAAAAGAAAAGATTTACATTCACACAGGTTCTGAATTCAGAAATAAATGTGTTCTTTATATTTAAACCCACGCCATGACGTCATGTCACAACGCGGTCTAGAGAGTATGAGTCACAGAATTGTTTACCCGTTAATGGGAAGCGCAACTCGCCTTTTCTGTTTTACATGACGTCATCGCCCTCTCTCGTTTCATTCTTTCGCAATTATTGTTTTTAGTGTCTCGAGTTCATGACCTAGTGAGCATGTACCACGCGCCATAAGGACCCAAACTCTGTGCAGTTTTCACTCATCCTCATCTCACAGTACGAAATAGTAAAGCAAGTTATGGTGAGGCTTGAATCAAAAGACAGGACAGTAAGATGTGAACGTTTCGGCTGAGAGCCATCTTCAGCGAACAGGACAAATAGAAGTACGACAAGAAAAAACAGAGCACAGTAAATGAGTTTAGAGATCTCCTTTGTTGTTCCGGCAGAGAAACGTTCTCAGGAAAATATACGGAACAACAAGGTTGAATATGGATGGAGAATGCAAGCCAACCAGGAATTGCATGGTCTATAGAAGGACCAAACGATAGTAGCAGAAATAAAAGAAAAAAGTGTAGGCTATTTTGGGCAGGATACTTGGAGAGAATGCCACATGACAGAGGAGTGAAGAGGATACATCACAGAAACCCCAGAGGAAAACGGCTAAAAGGCGGACACAGGCCTTGATGGATGGATGATGTGGAGAAAGATTTATGAATCCAAGCAAGGAAAAAGAAAAAAAGCATTAGTTAGGTCTGATCGGCAGGGAGTATTGAGGCAGGCCAAAGCCCTACATGGGATGTAGCGCCACAGCATTAGTTAGGTCTGATCGGAAGGGAGTATTGAGGCAGGCCAAAGCCCTACATGGGATGTAGCGCCACAGCATTAGTTAGGTCTGATCGGAAGGGAGTATTGAGGCAGGCCAAAGCCCTACATGGGATGTAGCGCCACAGCATTAGTTAGGTCTG